GTGTAGTCAACTTAATTTCAAAGTTGTGCTTTTTTATGATTGTAGGAATGTATTTCATTTAGCTTTATAATCATTTGCAAACATCTATTAGAGCAATTCCTTCCATTTTTTACCAATAGTTATTTTTGTACATTTATTATTCTTGAAAACAATTAGAACCATTTATTAATAAAATGATTTTTCTTGATATTTAAAGCATTATTAAATCTATGTATTTTGTTTGGAAAATTGATGCAAATTGTCCTGTTCAAGAATATAGTATCTTTATTTATTAAACTTCTTTCTGTCTTTAAGTAAACTTCTGGGTTTTTTTTTCCTGTGGATTGCACACATAACTGGTAGACTTCACTGATATTTTGTGTATTTATTAATTTTTAAAATATTTTTCTGGAGCAGACTTGTTGGCATAGTCTGCCAGAGACATGATGCTGTTTTACATCTTCTCATTGACTGGAGAGGAAAGTATTATAATGGTTTAACTTAAGCCCAACTTCTGTGAGTTTTTTAAAAGGCAACATTCTATATTTGGTTACACTCTGGTCTAACAAGCGTTTCCTTCAGGCAAGGCAACCCTTCCCACCTGCCAGAATTGATATATGATACATTTTTTTGTGGTCACCTAGTTATCCTTTCTTTTATCTTGAGTGTAGGCTGATAATTTTATGTATTCACTTCCAACTGGAAATTTTCTTTCCAACTGGAACTTTTCTTTCCAACTTCTTATAGATTCACAAAATATTTTAGGCTTATCTGTAATATAATAATTTCCCATAAATGTACAGAATATATGTATGCACAGTTTAAAAATAATATCAGTAAAGGAACATGGGACACAGTGCTCATATTTAAATATAACTTTCAGCAAGGTAGTCTTTCTATAGATGCTTTCAGGATAATAAAAATGGGCTTGATTGATATTGACTTAGGGGGCAATATGTGAAAAACAGTCTCTACTCTGTAGGCAAGGATGAGAGGTGGGTGGGGAGGATTACAGACACATATACTAGTTGCTAATTTGGTACTGTTCATCAGCTTGAATATTTTCATGAGATCCTGTCTTATTTCTCTGGCAATCCTAAGACAAAAAAGTGAGAATAATTTCAGGTGAGTCTAGTTCAGAAGAAACCAGTAAAATGGTCATATTCTTCATTTAATGTTTTTTGGACTTATTTTTTCTTCTTCTTAATTAGAATAGGCCAAATTGCTGCAACAACTGGACTCAGAAGTGTATGATTACTGAAATACAGTAGAAATTTGTATCTCAGTTGTATCATAGTAGAAGGATATTAATGATTTGTGAGTAGTTCTTTTCCAGGTGGTGATTTAGGGTTTCAAGCCTCCATTCTCCAATATGGTGCTTATCATGCCCAAACTTATGAAAGTGTGAAAGTTAACACACTTTAATTTTTCTTCAAGAAGGGGAGGTCACAAAAGGTGGTCAATTGAGATCTTCTAGAAGATTAAGGAAAGAAGGGTAGTGAAATTTGCTACAATTTCCACCATTATAATCGTTTTTATGACTGCAATTAATATTAATTTCCCTTCTTCACAAACCATTCTCTATTCTTCTCACTCCCTGAAGTTAGTTTGTTTAGTTTGTTTTCCTGGTTTGGTGACAGAGTGTGCTATTTCAGAAGGGTCTACATTGTTATTTATCCTGTCCTTGCTGGATTACAATTATTATAGTATCTGCTGACAGTCATTATCATGCATAAAAGTACTAAAAGATGGTTATTGTATTTTCCTTTAATTTGGTCTTGAGGTCTCTCTAGTGAGAATGGCTACAAACGTTAGTTCTGCTCTGATGAAAGAAAGAGAAATATGCACAGGTTCAAACCAGGACTACAGTCAGCAAGGAGTATCTAGTTAATTGCATTGCTGAGTTCCAACCTCCCGGCCATTGAGGGTGACAGGGAGCTCTTAATATGGCACTATTACTTGGGTGGAGGGACAAGAGAGTAAAAAAACACTTCCTTCAACCATTTATAAGGGTCCTAATCCTATCCACGAGGGCTGCCTCTTCATGACTTAATCACTTCTAAAAAGCCTTACCTCTTAATACTATTACATTGAGGATTAGGGGGTTAGGTTTTAATATACAAATTTTGGAATTTTAAATCATGTGTTTTGTTGAATTGCCTTCTCTGTCTTACCTAATGGACACACCCAAGTCTAACTTCTTTTCCAGTCGGGACGCTCTTATAGGGTGGCTATTTTGGTAGGAATAAACTGAACACAGGTCAGACAAGAGCCAAAGTGGGTCTGCCAGTGTAAACAACTTTCCTGTGAGAGAGGCACTTGGTCACAGGTTAGAAATTTAGGCATTAGACCATCTGCCAGGATCAAAAAGTATCCCATTAAAGGTACATTACAAATATCTACAACCAAATTCCCTGGAACTCTGTCAGAACATGACTAACTTTTAGCTGTTCTTGTGAGAGAGACCTCAAGGCCAAATTAGATGAAAATACAACAATAATCTTTTAGTATTTTTGTGCACAGCAATGACTGTTAGCAGATACTAAAACAATCATAATCTGGCATGGACAGGGCAAATAATAGCACAGACCCTTCTGGGATAGGAGTCTCTATCACCAAACTGGAAAAACAGTCTAATTTTAGAACTAATCAAAACCTGGTTTCGTATGTACTACTTCAATTGATGTCAATCACAATCCATTATGATTATGACTATAAATCTTATGACTATAAATCTTGTAACACCCAGCACTCATATGGGTAATTTAAATCACACGGTCACTTAATGTTTTAAATGCCTAACAGGAAGAAATGCCCATTGGGTCTTAGTTTTAGAACATGTAAGTTCATACAAAGTTACTGTTAGAGAAGTTTTCCTGTGGTTTTATATTTTGTAACATGTAGTTTGAATTTCCCTACTGTTACCCTGACCCCTATTAATGGCAGTTTCATCATCTCATTACCCACATGAGGTGCACACAGCCTCATCCTAAGTGCCCTGCCTTTACAGAGGCTTGGCAGGATAATTCAGGTGAGATACTCAGAATCAAGTTTGTCCCAGCTGCCTCTCTCCTAGGCCAGGCCAGCATTGGCTGCCCTAAGGAAGGCAGCTCTAGAGAAAGCTGAGTCAGGTGGACACAACTGGCAGAAACCTAAAGCAGAACTTTTCAGATGAGGTTTTAGCCAATCAAAAAGGGCTCAAAACTGACATTTTTGTTGCTAGTTGAAAAGTATATGTGAAGAGGCCTTTGAGACTGGGAAATCCCCAAGTCTGGCACAGCCTTTGCTTCACAGCCCTCAGAATAAACTGGAGGGAAGTTTTTCCCTTAAGACAGGAAGGAGAGGATGGGTCAGAGGCCTCTACTGATTCTGAGGGACCTGAAGTGGGGACTAGGGACACTGAAATCCCTCTCTGACCATCATCCTTGCCTACAACCCAATTCTAGGCCCGAGTTTGGTTCTTTCTTTGTGTTTCTATTGCATCATTGGAGACACTCCTTACACTGGGGTTATTCTGATCCTGAGAACACACCACTGCTGTTGGAAGCCCAGAGATGGCTCTCAGGTGCTTTAGAACTAGGCACCGAATGATACAGAATACTGGAGTAACTCAGTGCCTTCATGTGCCATTAATACACAATTCTTGCTGTTGCCTCTTCCCTGTTTCTTTTTACCCACTAAACTTATATTGTGCTTTTAGATCCTATCCTCCACCTGAAAATGAGAACCTAAACTACAGGGAAGAGAGAGAGGGAGGGAGAGAAGAGGGGGGAGATACTCTTATTGCCTTGGTTAGGGTTACAAGTAAGGTTTGCCATGAATTGTTCTAATTGCTTCATAAGTATTTAGTACTACATCTATTCATGGGCAAGAAAAGCCTGATAAATATTAAATTTATTTATAAAAACACAGCGATACCTCTACCATTTGGAATTTGATGTTTAAGCCTTGCACGATACAATCTGTAACTCTAAACATTTGCTCCATCATTAATACTATTCAGGCCCCAGGAACTGCCTCTTCACAGCTTTGGCTCTCCATCCTTAAAACGAAAGGTGACTGTGTCTGAGTACTGTAAAAGTTTGTGTATTGTGCCTTTGCTGATATCGGGTGACCTGTTTCATGGTTCAAGGAGGATTTAAGCAGAACTTAGGAAAAAAGTCAACTTTATTAACTTTTCAAGTACTATAACTCAAAGAACATAATTGCAGCAAATTCTTGCATAATAAAGAATTGCTTGCAAGCAGAACTGGTTGTCACTTTTTTTTGGCTTGTTTTCTTATTCCACATGTTAACCTGGTAGTTACACATGGCAGTTGAGAAGCCTTTTGCAATATTAAACAAGTCATATTAACCTTAAATTTGTATATATGAAGATCTAGAAGTAAAATTCATGAAGCATGATCAACATTTTACAAAGAGAATCCTGAGGCAAAAAAGAAGTTCAGTAATTTGTTGACTTTCATAAAACATATCTGTGATAAAATTGCAACTCACAATAATTTCCTTCTAAGAATTTTGCTCTTCTCACCAAAACTTAAGGTTTCTCAGAGTATCTAAGAAAATAGAAGTGAATATTTCTATGACAATAATTTTCTCTCCCCTGAAATATGATTCTCACTTATTTTGTAAAAAATCTCAAGTATAATAACAACAGGTTTTAAATCCATATTACAAATATGTCTACTCTTGAATCACATTTTTCTTTTAGTTCTTAAAACCCCTAAGGCAGTCAATCTTCAGATCTGTAATTGAGAGGAAATCTTCAGCTCAACGGTTCACCCAGTACAAGTTGAAAAAGACAGTGCCAGTCATTGGAAAGAGAACCTTCACCAATAAATGTCTGCCCAGAGACAGTTGAGGCCCTTCAGCTCCAGTGCTGATTGGTTCCTGTCCTAAGGACTCTCCAATCCTACCACATATGGAAACATTCACAGGTTTTTATTCTTTCTGGCGGGTATATCAGATCCATTAGGTTTGAGCTGTGTTGACTACCACTATTTTCTCCTGTGCTCTCAATTATGTCTTGGAAGATGGCTCTGCAGATCCCAGGAGGACTTTGGGCAGCAGCTGGGATGGTGACACTGGGGCTGAGCACCCCAGTGGCTGAGGGCAGAGACTCTCCACATAAGTGTGCTCTGGGGAGCAGGCTGGCCTTGGGTAGGGGAATGGTAGATGGTACTCAAGGTAGATGGTGATCTCTGTGATCTCAGAACAGTCTTTTATCATACATTTTCTCTTTTTGGGAAGGAGAGCAATGTTGCCTTCTCATTTCCATCTTCTAATGACGAGGTGAGGACAATTCAATCCCCATTCTACAGGCTTAAGCCTGGCAATGTCATAACAGGAAAGGGGAGACAAAGTGTGCATTTACTAGTGAATCTACTACCAGTGACAGGAAAAAGTAAGCAGGATTATTTTTGAAAATATGAATTTCCACAAAGACACAGCAGGATTTATCATTTCAGGATGTCTCAAGACCTTGCCAGAACTAAATATAGGATTCTGCATTGGGGAATGTAAGCCCGAAGTGGTGTCTACAGTCTCTGTATTTGAGGAAAAGGAGTTTACATTCCTGGCTCTGACTGGAGGGTCTGTGGAGGATCTTGGTACTGTGTGACCACAGGCAGGGAGTCTCCAGGTTTCCCTGATTTATGGGCAATCAGTGACTTGAGTGTGATTTGGAGACCTGAGTTGATGGTGGATCGAATTTAGAAGACAGGAGGAGGCCGGGCTCGGTGGTTCAGCCTGTAATCCCAGCGCTTTGGGAGGCCGAGGTGAGTGGATTGCCTGAGGCCGCAGGTTCGAGACCTGCCTGGGCAACTTGGTGAGACCTCATCTCTACAATAAATCAAAAAATTAGCCGGGCATGGTAGTGCGTATCTGTAGTTCCAGCTGCTTGGAAGGCTGAGGTGGAAGGATCGCCGGAGCCCAGCAGGTCAAGGCTGCGGTGGCCTGGAGCGGCCACTGCATTCCAGTCTGGGCGACAGAGTGAGACTCCAACTCAAAAAAAAAAAAAAAAAAAAAAGAAAAGAAAAGAGGATGTTAAGAAGGGAAGTAATATATATTGAGAAACCAGTCATTTCAGACACAGGTGAGTACTTTATATAAATTCTCTCTCGACCTTCCTAGCACCCCTGTGTATATTATGATTTTCTTTTTACACGGTGACATGAACATTCTGTTAAGTAACCTGCCTAAGATGGTTGATCAACACAGTTTAATTGGAATCTGATTTATCTCAAAAAGCGTGTGCTCCTTCCGCGAACAAATGTCCCTTGTCCCTGAATAAATGCTCCTCTGTAGGACTGGGGAGGCGTAGGTCCCTTCTAGCACAGGAATGAGTGAACTTCACACTGCGTTTGGTTGGGTGTAACAGAGTAAATCCAGGCGTGAGAAGGAAGGTATCTTGCCCAGGGTCCTAGAGAATACGCTTATCAGCAGGAGGACGACCTTAACCCTGGATGTTTCTCTCACTCCCTTGAACGCTCAAGCTTACGTGGGTAACTTCGTTCCCAGGAGCTCTGTGGGCAATGGGACTTCGTGCGAGAACACCCCGGTCCCTCCAGAGAGAAAAGTAAACTCTCTCGACTCGGCCGGGCGCTCAGGCTCAGGCTGGGGCCGGGCTTCCCTCCCTCCTCGAGGCCCCCGGAGCGGGCGGGCAGGGCCGGGGAAGGGCCGCCCGGAGGAGCTCGGGGCCGGCGGGCGCTCGGGGTGGCGGCCGGGCGTTCGGTCCTCGCGGCCCCGCTGGCCGCGTCCTACTCCCGGCCGGGTCAGCGCGGCTGTTACGTGAGCCGGGGCCGGGGCCGCGGCCGGGCGGGGCCTGACTGACCTCAGGCTGGTGAGTCCCCGCAGAGGATTTCGTGTACCAGTGCAAGTTTCAGTGCTACTTCACCAACGGAACGCAGCGCGTGCGGGCCGCGAGCAGGTACCTCTACAACCGGGAGGAGGTCGCGCGCTTCGACAGCGACGTGGGGGAGTACCGGGCG